TGCCACCGCCATCACCATTGCTGCCACCACTACCACCACCGCCACCACCATGGCCACCACCACCACCACCACTGCCATCACCACCACCACTGCTGCCACTGCTGCCACCACCACCGCCACCACCACCATGGCCACTGCCCACCACCACTGCCACCGCCACCACCACCACTGCCACTGCCCAGCATTGCCACCACAGCTGCCACCACCACCACTACTGCTGCTACCACCACCACCATGGTCACTGCCCACCACCACCGCTGCTGCCACTGCCCACCACCACTGCCACCACTGCCACTACTACCACCACCATCATGACCACTGCCACTGCCCAGCACTGCCACCACAGCCACGACTGCCACCACCACTGCCCACCACTGCCACCACCACCAGTGCTGCCACTGCTGCCGCCATTGCCACCATGGCCACCACCACCACCCCCATTACCGCTGCCAGCACCACCTCCATCACCCAGTGCCCCAGCGCTGGCGCAGGACGGGTCAGAAGCTCAGCTCGGTGGCCCGGCCTCAGAGAAGGGCAGAAGAAGAAGTTATTCTGCCTTATGGCTCGCTTTGGTGGCCGAGTCCCCGGTTCTGTAGGGGACGTTTAGGCGTTAGGCGGCTGCTCAGCTGAAAGGTGCTGGAAGGACGCGGTTTCCGCGGGAGGTGCTGTTCTCTGGCAGTTTGGGACCCACGTAAATTAATCAAAATCCAAGAAAAACATTCCCGGCGTTAGAAAGTCCCTGCTCGGTTTGAGTGCCCTCTGCTCCGTTGCTCAGCGGAGCGGTGAACGCCCTGCCCTGGCCTGCTTTCCAGCCGTGTTTGCGCTGGAAGTCGTAGGGGAGCCGGGTTTGTGTCGGGACAATTCCCCATTACCCGATAACGTGCGTTTTTCTGATTTAGCGTACGGTGCTTCCAGACGCACGTGGTCTTGGAAGCAGCTTGTGCTAGCTCGGAGGAAACGGGATTTCAGAATAAGCGTGCAAGGGAAGATGCAGCAGCACCTCCTGGCAGTAGCCAGCGCGCTTTACTGCAGAGGGACATACTGTGAGAATGGTATGCCTGTGTATTTAAAAGAGTGTGAAAATACCGGGCTTAATATTTCTTGCTGTCTTCTAAATGAGGTTCGTGTTCCCTCGTTTCTTTGCAAAGGTGGGGAGCACAGATTTGGTAATGTTAAAGAGCCAGTAGGAGCGTCCTGCAACGCCTAACGTTTCCGCCAAGGAAAAGCGAGGCTTCTCATACAGGATGTTTTTTGGCACTTGCCTTTCTCTCTCGTTTGTGTGTACTTGGAGTCGTGCTAATCTTGAAACAAAACAAAAAAAAAAGGCAACTAAAAATATCTGCGGTTAAGAGTGGAAAAGATGTAGGGTGGGTTCTTTTTTTTTTTTTTTTGGTCTTCCCCCTCCTGCTTCTGTAACGTGAGCGTGTAGGAAAGTGAAGACGGTGGTGTTTTTTCGACGTTGGCATGGTGCTGCTGCAGTAAAATGAGTCATCCTTGCTCTCAGGCTTCCAGACCCGCGCTGCCGTCGCACAGCAGCTCGCGTACCTTTTGGCAGGAATGAACGCAAGTTTGCAGGGCTCGGGTGCTTTTTAATCAACTGCCGCTACTTCCTTTTGCATACAGCAAAAAAAAAAAAGAAAGAAAGAAAAAATGAAACCGCCCCTCTCTAAAAGGCTATTAAAAACACCAATGGTTGAATATACTAATGATTGAAAGTTAATGAGAGTGTGTGTAAAGTAGAATATTATTTCTGATGGCAAATAGCTTGCTTTCTTCTCTGCTGCCCAGGACACAAGCAAAAAGTTCATCCTCTTTCCCCCCCCCCAGCCAAACTAAGCAAAATGTTGGCCCTTTTTTTGCATTTTAAACATTTTGCAGTCATTTATACTTAAGATTCCTACCTCAATATAATGGAAGAAAAACTTCATATAGAGCTGGAGGGTTTTTTTTGACAATCATCAGGAAGATGTTGCCTTGGTGCTTAAAGTCATGAGGTAGAACACCAAAGAGAGTCTCCAAACTTTTTCCCTGTTATGCTGAATCATTTTTTATTGAGATAACCGTGGTTTGGGAAGGACCCGTAACGTCACTGTGTCCTGCCATTCCTCCTACAGAGAAGGTTCTGTAAACTAGGCAATGTTTAGTTCTTTTTTAAAAAAAAAAAAACAAGTGTAAAACAGAAACAAATACATCAGCTAAGCATTTTGTAAAGGATGCCTTTGACAAACGTGTTCAATGAACGCGGAGGGAGATGTGAGGTTTTTCCAGAAACAGCTCACAACGTCTTATTCATTGTCCTCTTATCCTCCCACTCACAAAAAAATTATATCTCAGTAAAAGAGGGTGGAGGTCCTCCCGTTTGTGAAGCAAGGCTCCTTCTGAAGCGTCTTTCTTTTGTAAGACTTGCTCACAGTACATGTCGCGTCGTTCAGTGACTCTACCCTGCAATTTTCAAAGCTGGCTTGTGTATTAAGAAAACGTTGATGATGAAGGCAGGCAGCTAGATAGACTATTGTGAAGGCAGTTTACTGCTCGTGTCGTAACGTTTTCATTTTCAAGTTCTCAGTGATGGTTTTCAGCAGCGTTGGGATTGTCCATTACTCAGCAGTTGCTGGTGTAAGAATACCCCAGATTTGATTTGCAGAGTTTATAGTAACATGTGTTTCAGACATGGGCATGGTGTGTAAATGCTGATTATGTTCCTGGTGTAAAGAAACAGGATCGAGTAATGTAATTAAAGATGCGTGGTAATCCCATTATATCTGTTTTGGGTATGTATTTACATTATAAAGTAACGCGCAGAGTGGTCAGTGGAGCCACCGTTTTAGAAAGACTTATTCTTTTGATTTTCTTCACTGTGTTTTTATTTATTTTAAAATGGATACTGCCAAATTGGAATTTGATAAATTTTTAAATAAAAAAATAGAGTAGCAGTTTAGTTCTTTATATAAACTACTGAAATACATTTTATACAGATAAGTGCACTTTGTATGTGTTTCCAAAATAGAAGATACTGATAATCTAACTATCCTCTTGTCCGAAAGTATTTTTTTAGGAATGGCACCTAGCGCTGGGAGAGAGAAGAAAGTAGTAATTTTTAAATATTATTTTGTACCTGAAGTCCTTTGCAGAGTCATATTGCTTCCTTTCACAGAGGTTGCCTTCGTTGGGTTTGGGTTTTCGAGTGTGTTTCCTGTACACACGGGAGAGGCTGAACAACAGTGAAGTTGTCTAGAAATAGCAGCAAGAGGCTATGTGTGAGCACAGAGCTCTTCTCATTGTCTTCATCTTTGCTTGATGATTTCTCCACAATATTCGATATGTGCTTCTTAGCAGAGAGCGAGGAAGAGGATGACAATGAAATGGAAGTTGAAGATCAAGATAGTAAAGAAGCTGAAAAGCCAAACATCATTAACTTTGACACCAGCTTGCCAACATCACATGTGGTATGTTCTTTCTCTCTCTATATTCCACTAAATATGTTCTGAAGAGGTTTTGATTGAGCTGTGTAAAAACATACACCACTTGATTTTAATAAAGTTGCTGAGTAAGTGCAGTGATATGCCTCCTGTTGCTCAGTTAGTTAAATACATCCTGCTAGAAATGTAGAAGGAGTTATTACTTTGTAGTAGTAATGGAATAGAAGCAAATACCTGTACGTACTAAAGATAGTGTTAAAAAATGGGTATTTCTTAATCTGCAAGTATTCTGGTTGATGGACTCCATTGCTCATTTATAGTGGACAAGGTATTTTCACTGAGAACCGTTCGCAGGGGTATCCTTGAGTGGTTCAAGGACCGGAAGTTTCTGCCCGCTTCTGTACTGTTGCACGTGATCCCTCCAGTACGTTTCAGGTACGATAGGAGAGTAGTAGAACTAAGCGCTCTACTGCTGTTAACTTGTCACATAGACCTTTGGGTAGAAATAAGCGGTGTTCTGTGTTATCTTTGCTAATTCAACGGGAGTCCGAAAAGAGTCTGCCACGGAGCACGTCCTGTGGTCTGGAGTAAGCAGGTAACACACGGTTGTGAATGCATTATCTTTTGAAGATACACTCCATAAAGAATATTCAGCGTACCAGATTCACTTTTTAGAATCGTTATCCTCTTACGATTGTTTTTGTATGATTCTGTTGTAAAATTTCTCAGGCAAAGACTTAATTTTATTTTATCTTTATTAAAAAAAACCCTCCTCTATTAGTGTTATTTCTTTATCTTTTTTTTTTTTTTCAGTATTTAGGTTCTGATATGGAAGAATTTCATGGGAGGACGGTGCACGATGATGACAGCTGTCAGGTGATTCCAGTGTTGCCCCACGTGATGGTGATGTTGATTCCTGGACAGACGTTGCCTCTTCAGCTTTTTCGCCCTCAAGAGGTTAGCATGGTGCGGAATTTAATTCAGAAAGACAGAACATTTGCTGTTCTTGCATACAGGTAAAATACACGAGTGGTATGGAGCATGTATTTTTAGTGCTGATTTCTTTGGACGTGAAATCAAAAGCAGACAGTTGCATCAGTTTTGTGGTATCTAACAAAACGTGTGGTTTGAAACTGTTAGACAAACTTTGTCTTCCAATACTCAGTGAAAAGGATATTGGGTAGCTGCATGACAGCACCACAAAAGCCATTCCTTTTGTATAGAGAAGCAGTAAGTGTTGATTTGTTTTCCGTGTTCCAGCATTCTCTTGATTTCAGGAGCTATTTGAACGCGCTGCCCTGTTTTGCTTAAAGAAAAAGCCTTGATTTGAAATGTGAAAAATGAGATTCTTGCTTTGAGAACTTTATTGTCTTTAAGGTGTATTTTGCTTGGTTTGTGTATAAATTAAGAAGCACAGATAAATGTTTAACAGTAGAGCTGAGAGAAATGAGGTGATAGAGCTGCAGAAGAGATAAAGGGTAATCTGTGGCAAAAGAGGCTGGAATGTTCCTCCCTCCTCCACCAATTCACTACAATTTAATTATGTGGGAGATGGGAAAAGCTGTTTTTAGAAAGTCAGTCTAAAGAATTCTAGCACTTTCAGTGTCAGCATTTCAAATGCAAATACACTGGTGACCCCTGCGTTCCCAGAATCTCACCTCTACGCGCTAGAATAAAACTAAATCATCAAAAAAATTAGAACTTATTTGTAAAATGAAAAATTAAGGGTTGCAGTCAGTTTGAAGGTATTTTACCAAATTTACCTTTTCAAATTGACTGAACATAGACAGTCTGTGCAAACTAGTGAAATCTGAATCAACAGTATTATTTGGAGGATAGGTAACCTGTTTTATTCTTTTGCTTTTAGTAATGTTCGTGAAAGGGAAGCACATTTTGGAACAACAGCAGAAATATATGCATACCGAGAAGAGCAGGAATTTGGAATTGAAACTGTCAAAGTGAAAGCAATAGGAAGACAGAGGTTCAAGGTGCTTGAAATAAGAACCCAATCAGATGGGTAAGAAAATAATGAGTTTAATTTTGCATGTTGCAAATCTTGCTCCTATCAGCATTTTGTATAGTAGCCTGGTGAAATACATAGTGCTGAATTTCCTTCTGCAAACTCTGCTTTTTTTCACTGAAACATTTACATTTTACTGCTAGTGAATCAACCTTACCCAGTTGATTAGTATTATGCACTCAACCAGCAGCTCCTCTGGTTATAAAGGACTTCTGACCTTTCCTGTTCTAAGACTCATGTTTTAGTTGTTAATAACTTTTAGAAGACCTTCTTTAGAAAATTTTAGAGAATAGTTTGATTTGATGCATGTGAAAATAACTGTTTCTGAAAGTTAAGGCAGGGGAAAGACGTTGATTCGTCTGCGTTAAAAATTCCAAAGTTTTCTTTCAAAATCTGTCACGTCCATGTTTCCAACCAGATGTGAAATGAGAGGATGGTCCTTTATTAAGTGCGTGCCTTCAGCTGTCTTTGTGAAAAGCCTCCGTGATGCTGACCGGATTCTGTGCCTCTGAAAAACTGTAACCTGCGTTTTCTGAAAAGAGACCTTTCTAGAGATGGTCAGGGCTGGGCATGTACCACTTCAGCTGAGCGTGACTGTATGGGCAGCTGCAGCTCTGAACTGCTGCAGGCAAGGGGCCGACACTAAAGCTATGAACAATAAGCTTCTCGTTTTTTTGTACTTTGGGTGATCTTTATCTGCTAAGCCTGAGCAGCGTGCAGAAGGATTCAGCTGCATGATTCAACTATAGAGAGGACAGTAACTGGGCCCAGAGCGGTGGTGTTTTTCACAGGAAGCATTGGGAAAGTGGAGGACTGGCGACTGATAATAATGACAGAGAAACAAGTTACTTCTCTCCCTCATTTTTTCTTCATAAAACTTTTTTTTTTTGAGATCCAGAGAGTGAGAACCTGAGCTAGGACAGCAATTGAAAGCTGTACATACTAAATGTTGTTCAGGCTACCAAAGGTGGCTCCGGCTGCAGTGATAAAGAGGGTTAACTCCAAGATCCTTTTCAACTGGATGCTCCCTGACTGGTGGCTGCGCTGACATCCACGGACAGCGAGAGCAGTGCAGCCTCAGGGTGGAAGCTCTGCTGAATCCAAGGCACCTCAGGCTCACCTGCTGTTTAGTCTTCCTTTTCCTGCACTGCACTTTTAATCCATCTGCATACTGGTGAGGAGCACAGGAAGTCTTGTCAGCAGCAATTGCCTCATTCATTGTTCCGTTCTTCCAGCTGTTCTGTGCTGTATTGCCTCTCCATTCTCTAGTGCCGGGCAGGAAAAAATCTGGAAGGGAGGAAAAATAGACTGTGCATTGGTAGCTAGATGGACTTTGTTTTGCAAGGAGCAAATAACGTGAAATAAATCAAGACTCCATAGAAGGATAAGTGTAAGATGAGCATAGTGTTCATGTTGGATGTGAACAGAGCAGGAGGACAAATTGTATCAGTATTTGCCCTTTTAAGGGTTTAAATCTTCAATATTATGTGGCAAGGATTTTTGTTGTCTGTGAAGCAGACAGCTTAATGTATACATAGCTTTGTGCTTGTCTCTCCATCTAATAGCCTTCCCCCAGTAACCTTTTGAATCTGTTGGCCTGGTTCAGCCCTGTTTGACAAAACAAGAAAATTCTCAAAGATGATTAAGCTTCTGTAGGTCTCGTGAAAATTGACGACTGGGTCCATGAAGGAGATTAAATTAGTCTTGCTGCTATTGGAAAGACTTACTCTGGTCTTGGCTAGTGCTCTAGTGTGCCGCTGTTCAGTCGGCATATGCGTGGGTTGACTGGCCAGCGCAAGCTGGTAGCTCAGGATCAGACACGGTATGTTTTGCTATCGCCAGCCAGCAGTGAGGAGACACAGTAGGGGATGACGCTTCTGCAGGAAACCCTTGGGGAAGAGGAGAGATTATAACGGGCGGAAGGCAAGGACAGAGAGGGTAGGAAGAGTCAAAAGATGCAAGATTAGCTGAAAGAAGCTAATCTTCACTAGTTCCATTGCATGTTTTATTTGGCTGTTTGTGTGGTTTCCTGCATCTTTATCACTTCCACATTTGATGGATCTTTAAGTTGGTGGTATTTCCAAAACCAATCATCTTTTTTTTGTTTGTTTGTTTTTTTAGTATTTTATCACTTGAACTTCTCTAATTACCCCTGCTGTGGTCTAGAGTGCAAATCAGTTAAAACTCTGTTGTTAAAGGCAGGGGTTTTTATTGATTGGCTTAGTTGGCTTCCTTTTCGTGTTAGTTCCTGAGCTCTTTTACCACAAATACTAAATTCTGGTTTTTTAACCATTGTCACAGTTTAATATGTGCTTACCTTCAGCAAGTCTTACCTCTTCCTTTCTGACCCAGCTCTTACTGTTCGCTGATACTTCACCTGTTACTGTCTGGCATGTCTTTTCATGTGCTTCTTACAGCAAACACTCTCTCAAACCAGCTTCAGTACTAGTCTTCTGTCTTGCTCCAAGTCCCCTTTCCATCTTCCAGTGTGGTGCCTGTGATACGTAATATGGAAAAATTGGCTAGGGGAGGAGCCTCTGGGTAATTAGTGCCTTTGTCCATGCATAAACGTGGATGAGAGACCTTTCACAGTTAAGAATACATAGTCTTCTGTCGTTGTCACGTTCTCGACACCGTGTTCTACACCATACGCTGCGTTTTGACCCTCTGTCAGTGTAACTGTTCAGAGGTGCAGGCTCCAAACAGTAACTTTGTGAACACGTTTACAGTTCTTAGCCCAATTGGCAGATGCTTTTGTGATCTTTTGTGCAAGGCACATAGCATCTTGTTTCAAATCTATGGATCTAAAGACCAATCATCATCTGTATCCTGCTGTTGGTCAGCGCAGTAACTTTGCTTTAAAGAGAGACCTAGGAACAGTCTGAGCTCAGCATTTTCTCATGTTTTTACAACATGCAGCTAAAGAAATGAAGAACGCCTGGGTTACTTTGCTGTTTTTCCTCATCTAACCTTTTGGTTACATGTAACGTATTCTGAATTTGTAAAGTTTAGAAAAGCTGTTATTTGAACACAAGATGGCAGTGCTTGGATAACTACAGTAGCAAAGGCATTGTTTTTGAGAATTCAGTAGTCTAGAAACAGTCAAGATGTGCAGTGATTCACTGTGCTGTTAAAACATTTTATTTCGATGGTTTTGTATCTACTGACTAGGAAAGGTCACTCTTACACGGCATGTTCACAGGTTTCATTCACAAGCATGAGTTTTTAAACATACGAAATAAGGGAAGCAGGATTAAGCTTCTAATCAAGGCAAACTTAAGTTTTTTGGAACGAGTTAAGCAATATATTCAGCTTTCAAATATTAGGCCTACTGTGAGCCTTAAGGCCTTGTGATAGTATAGTTTTCAGTAGGTTTAATATGACTGTGTATTTGGAGAAATGTTCCTTTTAGAAATGAATTTTCTACATTTGGAAAATATACAGCCGTGTGCAGTCTATTCTGATAGTAGTGCCAGCTGAAACTTTGCCAGTTTGACTTTCGAGCCATAATTAGCTATAAAACAAAACAAAACAAAAAAGCCTTTAAGTCACATGAAGTAATTATCACAGACCAAAATATTTTATTGTAGTTTTCTTTATGACATAGTTATTCTGTCAAACATATACTTTTCAGTAAATCTGAAAAGACGGCTTCTCATTTGAGTGTTTTTGTGTGGGTTTCTGTATCTATATCTGTATGCCTGGGATTGGGGAGCTCCTGTCAGCAGCACCTTCGAATCCATATGGATACTCTGTGCTTTTGTCCCAACTTGTTTTACAGAACCGACTGTCCTGGTAGTGATTAGTCAACTTGAATCTCTTTAGTATTCTCAGCGTGGTCTGGAGACGTGAGCAGATGTTCTTCAGTTTGTCCTGAGGAAACGATCCTCTCTGCAGGTTGCTAGACGTTGCCCAGACTGCTGGGCCAGCGAACTCGGTTTCTGTGAATGAGCTGTTCACGGAGCCTGCTAGCATGGCAGTTTGCTTCCGCTTTTGTCCCTGCATCAGAGGTGACATACAATTAATGTTATGTTCTCTCTGTAGAAATAAAACATTAGTATTAAGATCCTGGTTCCAAATTTCTTGTTTCTTCTGTTAGTTGCTTTGAATACAAGCCTCACCAGTCTAAAAGATGTTTTGATAAACAAGGAAAGCTGTTGAGCTGCTTAGCAAGAAAAAGTTTGTTATCCTTCTTGCTGTTTCTAATTACCATGGGCTGATGGCAAAATGCAAATTTATTATTTAGAGTAAGTTAACATGGTTCACTGATAAATTGCTTTCTGCTCTCTTGAGGCAATTTATGGTTCCTGTCAATGAGGGCAGCTGTTCTGAAGCCCTGTTCTCAAGGCTGTGTTCTCTGATAAGATTTCATGGTCTGACTCTAGGTTTGTGTTTGTTTGTTTTGACTTTCTAGTGGAGATGCAGATTCTTTTGTAATGTTTTTAATCCAACAGATAATAGGTTTGTCCTTTTTTGGCTGCCTTACAAGTAGTCCTCAGACACCTAGAAGTACAGAGAGCACATGCTGAGAGAGTAGGCCGTGGTAATCATCATAGTAGCAACCAGCAAGATCATCCTACCCTGGCAGTCAAGGCAAGTGGCATAGGAGGATTCGCTTTTTGAGCACAGTGGCTTTTTATCAAAAGAGAAATTACTCTCTCTTAGGTCTCTTGGGGGCAACTTTTTCTTCTTCGGGTATCTATGTTCTTGTAACTTAAGAAAATAATATAGTAAGCTTCCCGAAGATACGACATCTCCCCTGACATTTTTGTCAGTGGTGTTCTTGGAAGTCATCAGAGAGCGTGGGTGAATGGAGAGAACAGATCTCCCTCTCTCTTCACAGACCTGTCATGGGCAGTGGCTTCTCCCACTCTCCTTCCTTATCCCATCTTCGCTTCCCATTCTTTCAATTTCTTAAGAGCTGGTGGAGATAACCTTCTTAACAGTATGTTATTATGCAATGTTTTATGAATAGCTACTAGAAACCTCCTTTTTCTTGAAAGGAAAGCTATATATTTTGGATTGTAGATGTTTAAATGCTTTTAGATGTTTAAATGCTTTCAGTGTGCTATTTGAGATGCAAAATGGATATTCTGTCCTCTGCCCTCTCTTCCTTCTCTTTCACCAGCTTCAGTAGGGGAGATTCATTTGCCCATTTGCACTTAAAAATATATATATATTTTGATACAGATGTATATCTGGTATAGAAAAGTCGTCACAATGTTGCCATTTGGCTTCCTGATGATACTGAAAATATTTTAGAACTGTCTTACCAGTCTTGCAACCCATCTGTATCATCAAGATTTACAAATATTTTTGTAACTGGGAGATTGCTGACTGAAAGAGAAGTCTTGAAATTACACTTTGGTTACAAAATAAATTAGGAAAGGGATTAGCATCTAACCAGACTTTTTAGAGCAAAATTGCAATCCATAACAGCAAAAGTATACCTGTCTCTTGAGAGACCTAAAATAATGACCGGCCATATCAATCAGCCATAGCTGAGTCATTGACCGTGAGATTGTGTATTTTTGTGACATAGTAAGCAAGACTCCAATTTCACAGTCTGCAGGTGTGGCTGAGAACGGCTAATCTGTAATCAAACAGAGTCTAGAGGTATTCCTTAAAATGTATTTATGCCTCTTCGCTAATAGAAAAATACAGAGATGGTGTAAGTACGAATTTCCTTCCCACTTTTGTTGTTGGAAATCTTAGAAGCATGGTCATATACTTGAGAATTCTGTAGGGGTGGATGCAGGATTCAAAGCACTTGAATTCCGCTAGAATTATTGCTCAGTATCAGCATTCGGGTAACGTTCAGAACATAGAAACATTTCCCAGCATTTCTGTAGAGCTGGCTTATGCAAGTAACATTAGGCAAAATGACTAGAGTACTGCATCAATTAACAGAGATGTGTGTATTATGCATGAAACAAGAGGACTGGAACTGGGATCATCAAAATGGCTGATCATTTACCTGAATATGTCAGCTTTTCCAGGGCTCGTGGATGAGTGCTCCGAGTCTCGGTAATATAGTCAGTGTTTGAGGGGACTTACCCGTTTGTGAACCTCTTCTCAACCAGCAGAAGTAAGAAGTGCTTGAAATTTTGCTCCAGGGAAAACCAAAACCAGGCCTGTTTGTGTCAGTGGTTTGACTAATTAATTCTCATTAATTCTGTTATTTGCAAGAGTCAACTGTTAAGTTTTTTACACCATAAAAGCATTTTTATAACTGCAGGCTTGTCTGGTGAAGCTTCTGAGGCTTTCTGACCTGAAACTGGTGCTACTAGGGAATCTGGGAACGCCCGTGAACCGGCAGTGAGGGCTGTTAGCGTGAGGTTAGGTAGACAAGGTGTTTGTGGGGGAAGAATAGCTAGGCTAGGATGCACTAGCTTAATATCTGTTGCTGGCAGGAACGTTAGTGTCTAGGCACATGGGCATCACATTCATCTACAGCGAATACGAAGAGAGCACACTTCGGAGATGTTTGCTTATTGCAAAAATAAGTATATTTTCTTCTTTTACCATGTTAATTCTGCTTGTAAATACAATTGCAAATTCGTAATGATATGTCTTAATATTTCAGGATTTTTGATGCAGTAAACTCTTTCCTACTAGAGAGTGTTCTTTAGCAGCTACTTGACTATGTGGAGTAGGTGACTGGGTTGATACTAGGATGTTAAAAGATGATCAGAGTCTATATCCTCTTTCTGCTGATTTTGAACTCTAGCTAGGCACATAAGCTTTTGTGGTTTGAAGACAGCAAACTGCATTTCAGCTAAGCGTCCTTTCTGAGGGTTTGATATGTATTAGCTGGGTATTAGCTTAATGCCAAAAGTAACTTGAGGAGACAAAAAAATCTAAAAGTACAGAGCTGAGATGGCAGAATATTCTGCTATGTCGCCGCTGCCAATCTGTTTTTAATTTTGTCCACCACAATCCCAACAGATACCCTATCTCCTAAAATATATAGAGAGCACATTGTATCCCATGGAAAAGGAAGTTAACTGTGAGAGGAAAAACCAGCAAAGTACTTTTGCTGAAAAAGTTAAACCGGTGATTTCTTGAGCGTTCTGTATGCCAGTGCAAAAATACTTGGTAAGCAGATCATTCTGATTTTTAAAGGAAAATGAAAAGTACAGATTGAAGAATATTCAATGCATTGCTTGTATCTCCATCTCAGGTAGAGCAAAGTTAGGCCAGCACGGTGGCTTTCATAGTTTAGCCGGTGGCATGAGATACTCTGTTTTTTACGACAGTGTGTGTTGGGTTTACTACAAATGTACTGTATGTTCCCTAAGGTAATTTGATGCATGTTAGTACAACTTAAAAAATCTGATGAAACGGGTTCCTGTTTGAATTCCATAATTCTGTGTAGTGACTTGACCTATTACACATGCCTAATGTTTTTATAAGCAGTAAAGTCTGTTTTTGAAACCCCATGTATGTATGTGTATGTATCTCAATATTTTGTTTTCCTTTATCAGAATCCAGCAGGCTAAAGTACAAATCCTTCCTGAACGGGTGCTGCCTTCAACAATGTCAGCAGTGCAGCTGCAGTCTCTCAACCGATGCCACGTGTTTCCTTCTTCGAAACCTACAGCGTGGCAGGACCGAGCTATACATCAATGGTGGCAGAAATATCAAAAGGTCAGAAGCTAATTGTGGTTTTTTTTTAATTTTTGATGGTATTTCGAAAATCGATATAAAATTCCATCCGAGCTTCTTTAGAGGAGAATGAACAACCTGGGGTGCTAGATGCCGATTTCCTGCTTTTCCTGCAGATTGTGTGATTGTTTATCAGCTAACAGCAATGGGCAAATAAACGTTTTGTATTATGAGTTCTACTAGATTTTAATTACAGTATTTTTACTTTTTGGCAAATCAAATTGTATGTGTATGTCTTACTAAATTGGTTATAAGGTGTAGCAACTTGTTTAAACAGGAAAATTACAGCTGTATTACTGTAACTGCAGGATGTCTCTTTCCTTTCTGGATATGCTTATCTGGGAATATTAGTGGTGTTTTTTGAAGATCGGTGAGGTCACAAAGTCTGCAGATGTTTATGTTGGCAGTTAAACAGGCCAGGAAGCCTAAAAATCTGCTTTTAAGAAGAGAAATCAACTTGTGATGAGAAATTATTCTGTCTGTCAAGGTAGCTGAAGGCAGAGGAGATTTTCTGATATATGATGCCTGTGTTTAAAGTAAGTCCTTGATTTTTAGCTCCTTTTCTAAGTTCTGTATTTAAATCAGTCGAGTATTCCCACGCAGAAGGCTATTGGTTAATAACTGGGCTGAACTTTACAGTTTTGAGCTTGCTTTATATTGTACTTGAATCTCCTTATAAATGTTTATGTTATATCTAGTTTTTTGGTAACTTCAGTGCTTAATAATTTGCTTTCTCAGATCACCAATATATTCCTATATAATCCATTTCCTTAGGACAAACTGCACATGTATTTCTAAATCTGGTTTTTGATTTCGTAGTATCTGTTCAACAGATTTCATTTCTGGGATAGTTAATGTGTAATTTTTATTTTAAAAATTGATTTTAGAAACTTACCTAAATAATTTTTTTACAGTACTAAAAGTGATAAGATAGGAAGGGGTCACAGAAATTTGTGTGAATTTTTTCGTACGCTTTACATGCATTGACATAGTTATTAGTAGAATGCTTTATACACAGATAAAGTGGGTGAATTGACACCGTAGTCCTATCTATTTTATTCTCCAGAGTGGATTCTTTTTTTAATATGCAGACTTTACACTTACTTACACTTTGTTCTAGAATATTATTTACTTGACTCGTTAGAAAAAGAACAGAAGAGGAAAAATGATCGTTATCAAGATGTTGGCCTTGCCATTAGGGAATTAAATTCTAGTTTTGCTTCACGGATACAAATTCTGCCTTTGCTTGTTTGTGCTGTTTTTTTTTTGCATCATTGCAGCTATGGCAGCGTTTGGAATCGGGAGGGAATTCACACTAAGATCATAGGGCAACATTTTCTGAAGTCTTAAGAGGCTGATGCCGGGCCTAAGCTGCAAAACCTGTGTATTGCTCAGGGTGATGAGGTGGGATTTGGGATGGAGACAGCTGTGCTGTTTAAATGCTGCTAAAATGCACGTTTATTCAAATGGAAGGACGTTTTTGCCAAAAAACACCGTTTTCCTTCAGGAATCTGGAATAAAGCATTTTGTCGAAAGGATAATTTTGCTGGAATAAATTACGTTAACATAATAAGCCCCATGCTAGCATCTCGGACTAGCGTAGCTACCCCAGCAAAGCCTTCCACGCGTAAACCTGGCTCGTTTTCGAGCGTGCCGTCGGCTTTTCGAAGAGCCGCTCTCGTTGGCGGCCGAGGAGCGTGCACAGCACGGTTCGCAGGGTGGTGGTTTGGGGTTTTTTTTTTTTTTGTGGTCAATGGTGAAGTTACCGGTGCAGGTAACTTACTGTTGCTACTGAAGAGTTGTTCTTTCCCAGTCCCATGGGTACTTTTATAATCTGTTAAAAGGGTCCAGCGCTGTCCCGGGGGCCTGTTAGACTGCGTGCTTGAGAGAGGGTTCACGGAGCGAAGAAGAAAGATTCCTTGAAGTCCTCTGTGTCGGTAGCGATCTAAGGAGCTACCTCCTGTCACGTCCTTATAACTCTCCCCCTTTGCCAGGGGTGGTGAAGGACTCCTTTAAGTTTGAAAGTCGTATTTGTTTTTTTCCCCCCTTCAATTGAATTCTCGAGCAAACAAAAATGAACCATCGAGTAAATCATTAATAACAGCAGGGTTAGTGATCTCTAAGATCTTGGACAAGTTCATCTATGAGTTAACAAGCCCAGAAACGTTACGCTTCAGGGAGGAAAAAAAAAAAAATCCCTTTGCAAGACCGATACTAGCTAATCATGGCTGAAATGCGATGCACCGGCCGTAAGAAAAAGGAGGCATTTTGCAGCCTGAGATACAGATCCGGAGCAGGGGCAGCGTCCTGTTGACCTCGGTTGCTCTGTTGCTGGCTGTAGGCCTATAATTGTTTCCAGTATGAGAGGCTCTGCCTCCGTAAGGTTACTGTCTAATATGATGAGAGATACCAGAACATGAAAGTTGCGTTTTAAGAGCATTTTCTACCCCATGGAAGAGCTGACCCCATGTCAGCTCCTATGGAAAATGCACTTGCTAATTAAAACAGTAACTAGATTTCCGGTGTTGCTGAATTCTTTCTCCAAAGTGCTATCGATTTGCTGTGGATTTTAGTCTCTCTTTGCCTGATTTTTTTCCCATTTGTATAATAAGGATCGTTGCCCTCAAAGGGAAATATAAGATTTAATTTGCAAGTGTTTCTGGAACAGTTTGAGATTCTCTGTTGGAAAACAATGTGGATGTGCGGGCTACTGCTTCTCTGATTCTGTTAACCTAAACCTATAAATTAAAGTGCTCTGAAGTGACTGTAGAAAATTGGTTAACTAAGCAAATAACCTTATAGTGCTGGAAATTTGGTTAAGGAATTCAGTTTGGCAAATCAATGCAGTTTTTACCTGGGGTTGCCCGTCTGCTGGAAACACACAGGCTACACAGGCTGAAGAAAGGTTTTTTTTTTTTTTTTGGAAGTGATAGAGGTTGCTCTTTTTATTTTGTTCCTCTAAATCTGCTCTATATTGTTACACAGATACTTTAGTGCACAAATAAGTGAACATGTTAGTTGTGTTCACAGTGAAGTACGATACAGCGATGAGGGGTCTCTCCTGTTAGTAAAGTTTTATGTAGTTGTACTTCTCAGTACTGCCACTGTAGGTTACTATTTAGTGTTGCACTTCTAGAAATCTGTCTGAAATGCCAAGAGTGTTAGAGTAAATTTTGTTCGGTTTCTAGTGCTTAGAGACTCTTCTGTTACGCTCGTGCCATTTATCGTCTGACTAAGATTTGATTGAAAACCCTTCAGTAAAAGATAGTCATGAGACCTTCGGAGGATTTTTTTTAATATTGCTTTTGTTTTCCCCCTCCACATTTGTTTCTTACTCCACAGTCCGTTTGAGTCTGAATTTTTCTTCATATATTGCTGTTAAGTGGATATTGTACAATATTTTTTCCACTGACTCTGGGTGGTAATAATGAAGTTATTCAACAGATTTTCAGTAGGCTGGCATAAGCCCTGCTGTTCAGTGAGCATTTCTGAAAATACAGTTTCCATTACAAATAGATCCGAGAATGAGAGCAGATAGCTACGCGTGATTAAACCTCACGGTTATCCAGCAGTTTGCATAGTCAGTAGTTGTTCAGCTATGAGAAAGCGTCCTCGGGAACTCCTGACTTGCATGTTGATGTTTTTAGGTAAGTTTGTAACAGGTCCGTTATCCATTTAAAAATGTCATCATATATCCTTTGAATTCATATGTGGCAGCTTAAAATACCTGACCTGGCCCATTTATCTCCTTATTTTACTTACTCATGCATTTGACCAAATTTATGTGAAGTAACGTAATCACCTTACATAATGGATGATTTTCCAGTTGATGGAAACTAAGGAACAGGTGCACTATCTAATACTATTTAAATATTTGAACTGTCTAGAATTCAGATAGATGCTCTTCTGAAAAGCATACTATCTTATTACTAAACTTTAAAAATCCTTTTATTGCTGAGACAGTTTTTGTGAGAAAACCTGTACGTTGTCTGTCTTGCGTGGAAGACTTGGCGCTCAACGCATTCGCAAAGTGCTTTGAAAGCCTCTTTAAATAATCAGGTATCTCAGGTATCAGTCTCTCTCTTGTTTTATTTGTTTGAACAAGGTCTGTGGGTAAAATCTGCTATGTTTAAGAATAAATTTTGTGGTTTTGGTTTCAGAGGAAGTTTCACTGTGCAAGTTTGACATCTTGGCCTCCCTGGCTCTACTCTTTATACGACGCTGTAAGTTCATACTAAGCATTACCAAGTAGTCTACAATATATTTTGTGCGTTTTAATATCTAATTATCAAGTAGCAAGAAACCTTGAGTTTTATGGGATTGCAAGTTCTCTTTTAGAGAAGAGTGTAGTTTTCAGTTTACTGATAAAAGAGCAGGAGGGCTTCCCCCTCTGTACAGGCGGTCCCTGGTGCTAGCGCATGCATCTGGGAGGGGTAACAGAGGTTCAGGTCCCTGCTGTGTTGTTTCAGACAAAAACTTGCTCCTCTGTCCCATGTGCTCCAGGTGAGTGTCCTAGCCACCAGGCTGCTGGATAGTCTTTCCATTTGGAGTTGTTTTACTCTTAAAAAAGAATGTATATGTATGCATATACATATAGATGTATGTATTTAAAAAGAAAGTAATTGGAGCAAGAGGGGGAGAATTACGGAGAAGGCTAGAAACCTGGTCTGGGTTTGCACTGTTCTGGCATTTGAACAGTTGTCCCCTTATCTCAAAAGAGAATTATACCCTCCTAGCCGTTGGTTGAATTTGGCCTATTTCCCACCCTGTTTTACTCCTAGTTTAAAATACGTGGATATGAAATGAATCTGTAGTTACTGTAAGTTTTAAAAGCACTTAGGGCAAATAGCTTACTCTACGTTTTGCTTCCTTTTTTGTTTTTAAGAAAACAGAAATACCTATGTACTTAAATTAGGCTTTTCTTCTAACAAAAGGAAACCTTGATGGAAAGAGTCAAGAGGCAGCTACATGAATGGGATGAAAACCTTAAAGATGAATCTCTGCCAACAAACCCAATAGGTATGATGTTTAGCTTATAAACTCAAATTCGATTAAAAGAAAAGAAAAGGGGGGAAAAAAAAGGTTCTCTAAGAAAACAAGACCTACGTTTCATTGGTAATTCATCCCTCACTCCCAGTTTCCGGTAAATTATGAGGGCTGATTTCAGCCAGATTTGACAACAGCCAGATTTGACAGCTCTTGAAGTCGTGCAGGTCCTCTGAGTTTTATGAAGCATGTTCAGTGAAAGAAACAGAAGTCTATTGTGCTTTCTGTAGGGAGGAATGTAATATAAACGCTTCATAAGAAAATGCCAAAAGCATACTGGATTTTTATTATTATTACATGAGTCTAAGTGGTTTTGTTTATATAATCTCTTTGTGCTTACTTCTTGTTACCCCTTATAAGACATGAGAGTGTTCATGAAGGAAAATGGCATCAATAACCTGACCACAGAAAAGCTGAAATTGGATTTCGTGCCTCAGTCGACGTTGGGGTTGTACCCCAAAGAAGTCGTCTCTTCCCTGTACAGGTCTCTAGTACCTCATAAGCTGTAAATTTCAGTTGAAGCTTTTTTGGGGAGAGAAACCTTGTGCCCTGTGTAGACTCTCAAACGCCTAATAAAGGGGAAAGGCAGACTGCAGCCTTCAATTAAAAAGTCAGTTAACCACAAAGTGCAGGTCTGGGCCTCGTGATGTCCGTGGAGCTCTTGTTGCTGCTTTGCTTACAGTAGTGGTTGAAGGTATTTCCTGCCTGCTTTGCCCAGAGTACTGCTCGGAGGACGTTACGTATGCAGAAAGCCTGTGAAATAGTCTAATCTTAAAACATGCAAAAAAAATGCAGCATGCTATTGGCATTTCTTTTCTCATGATTCACAGCGCATTGCTGGGTTAAATTTTCAGCTTTTCAGCGCCATTGGAGGCTGTGAGGGATGGGATGGTCTCCATCAGAAAGGTTTTTGTTAGATAAATTAAAGAACGGCTGTAGTAAAGTCCATTACCTTTTGTATTTGTGCCTTTTCATATCTGATTGAAGCTGCTGAAGGAGATTTTATTATTATTTTAAAAATTTTTTAAAAATCTTTCTTCTTGACTGAATACTTTCACATCTAATTCTGCTCTGCATTCAAATGTGGAAAAAAGAAAGGAAAACTCCAGAAGGGAACGTACACAGAATATCTTTTCCCTTCCCACATAGCAGTGAGAATACTTTCTCGATACTAAAGTGAATAATGCAATCTGAGTATAATGTATGCGGGAGGTGTGCATGTACATTTTTCTTTAATTTTTCCCTCTCTTACAAAAGCATGTCTGTCTTTTTGGAAAAAGATGTGTAAGCATAAGGAAAACCACTAATGGTTGGAAAACTCACTAGTATACTGTCAAAGTGGAAGTCTGTATCAAGTGATATTCTGCAGGGGTCTGTCTTGGGTTTAGAATAAATTACCTACCAACATTGTTCAGTCTCCATCACTGATGATCTTTAAGCGTGAATTAGACAAATATCTTAGAAATGGTTTTAGATATAGGTGATCCTGCCCTAGGGCAGAAGGATGGACTGAGATGGCGTTGCCATTATAACCCAAAGTTTTAAGTTTCAGTTTGTAACGGAGTAGAAGTAGTAGTTTTTATTTCTCTCTTAAATTCTAACAGGCCTGGTACTTCTTCATTTCTAGATTTTTCTTACAGAGTTGCTGCTTGCCTGCCAATTGATGATGCATTGCGTATACAATTGCTTAAAATAGGTAGTGCTGTTCAGCGACTCCGATGTGAATTAGATATTATGAACAAAGTGAGTATTTTTTTTTAACCTCTCATTTACTTTGAATAGTTCTCACCAAAAATGTGAGTGACTGCAGCAACCTAGAACAAAAATGTTTGAAATTTCCCTATAATACCTTTAGAGAGTGAATTTGGGAATTGTTGTATTTTTCCTTCCCCTTTAAAAGTTTTCTCAAGAAAAAAAATGCTCTCTGTTAGTACTAGATTTTGTGTTTAACAGCAAGCGAGAAACAGTATTTGCTCGAACGGAGTTGTTTGAGCCCCTCCATGCACTGTTTTAGCCAGGAGATGGCACTAAGAGTCTCACGTACGTGCTACCAATCTTAGAAAAACTAAAACGCCGCATTGTCAGTGTAATACACAGCAATCAGGTAGCACTGTGCCACAAAAACCTGTGGATTTTGTAACAAAAGATGAATCTTTGTAGCAATGAGCTATTGAGTATGCATCTAAATAAACACTGGGCAAAATGATTTTTATCTAAGAGGTGTATTGCCTTGTTAAGGTGTTTTAAGGTGATTTAAAACTTGTCTTCCCTTCCCTGAACGTTCTTCTTCCCAAGACTGTGTAATGCTCTAAATGTAGAACATTGAAGTCCAAGTTTTGTTTTCACATAGTACGTTTCTCTAAAATAATACAGTATTACTTATTATAATATAACTAATATGATGCAACTAAGTATTGATCAACCTCATACTGAATGCATCTGTTCTAGGAGCAGCATTTGCAGTAACGTCTTGCAGCATTTCCAATAGCGGTTCAAGTTGCTATTCTGTATTCA